CCTTTTTTATTTCAATTTTTCATTCATCTGGTACTGAAACCTGGGGCCAGTCAGTTCTTTCCTTTTTTAGTTCTTTAAAGAAAGAACTCCTGGGCTGGAGAAGTGTAGGGTAAGGGGTGGGGGTTGCGGTCACACCCAGTAACAAGTAGAGACTGAGGGATGTAGGGAGAACTTGGTACCCAGGTCTGCTTTGTTGTGTTAATCGGCACCTCAGTTAGCCACATTTCCTGTGTTTGATATCTAACATCAGAGAAAGAACTTAAATACCACACTAAAAAGAAATACCCGTACCCATAAGTGACTCACCACCTAATAATGCTTTCCAAGTTAATGAAATGCACGTGTGTACATAGTAACAGTATAAATGGTTGGATTTGATGCCCAAGTTAGATGTTCTAATACCACATTTTACATGATCCACACACAGAATTTTGGTCAAGACTGTTAGAAGCTTTAGGAAGTCTAACCAGTTCCTGAGCTTTCCTCTTAGTGTCCTGATTCTTCCTTGGCACTCTGATCCTGGGTGTTAGTGATGGCCTCCCACTGGATTCTACAGGACAGACACTGATAGAAATTGTAAAATGTAAACTGACAATGACTTTATGGCAAGTGAATCTTTCGGAACAATAAACCCATCCATTATCCAGTTTTGGTTATGGTAGAAAATTTTAGCTATTTCAAACAAGTAAATGCTATAAAGTATTGTGATTATCAAGGCAAGATCTGGTCCATCCAAAGAAAGTACTGCCTTAGTATGTTTCTGAACTGTGAAGAGTTGTCCTAACCTGAGTTGACTTGATCCTTTTAGAGATGCCCTGCAGTGTTTGAAGGAAAAGTGAAGACAGATGTGGTGAACCCTGAGTAAATGTTTATAAAATGCATATGCCACATTAAGTTTTCAGGTTCCAGTCTTTTCTTTATTCTTTATGATTGAACACACTTGGTACACTTCCAGTTTGATGCATTGTTCATGCATAGGGTTAAAATAATTAAGCATTGCTCCCCAAGGGAGCAGTTCCACTTCACAAACATAAACAGTTAGGCAAGTGCATCAAAAATCTAGTTTCTAAAACCACAAATTTGAATTGAGACTCCAGCTGTTCTTGAGTTGCATTGTTCATAGATGTCCTAGATTCTGATTAAAAGGCTGATTTCCAAGTTACGCTGGGATTTTCCAGAGTACTTGTTCCTAGTATGTCCTACAAGTCCTTGCAATATCAACACAGTGTACATGGGTAAGTTAACAGGAGGAATAGACAATGGATGGAGGGAGATTGTCTGGCTAGGTAGAAGAAAATGTCCCAAAGTGGGACTGTGGAGTCCATCAGGGCTAGGTGTTAACTTCCAATGGCTTCCTATGAGCAGGCCATCTCTAAATAAATAGGGATTATTAGATTGAAACTGTTCACTTCTACTGTATACTCACATCATAAGTGGAAATTTCATTCCTAAATGTACTTTTCTTATTTTAGCAAAGGGGAGCCTTTCAAAACTATCCTTTCATTTGCAGAAGCCCAAAGTTTCTTTGAATTACTAAGTTGAAATGAATCATGTGTGTGTTAAACATGAATATTTAAAATTATTTTCATGATTTTTTGCTTATTATTTCCCTAAAAGAGGCTATTAAATGTTTCATTAGATGCCCATTTTGAAAACACTAAACAAACTTTTACATGTCAGTTTACTAAAATTATGTTTCTGAAGTTTTGGAAACAACAAAAGCTAGCTTCATTTTCTTTGGTTCTGTCTCAGTGGCAGGCCAGAGCATTTGATAATTGAAGGGCTTTCTCAATTATCCAATAAACAGCAGGCTTCCATTAAAGCAAGCATCCAAGCATCTAAATATGTGTTCTCTATGTTCTTATAAACAGCTGTAGTAGTTGACTCAGACAGATTATTTTTGATATTAATTCAGTGATTTATAAGTTTAATACTTAAATATATCAATTAGTTTTGAAGTAATGATATGTTTTTCACTGAGATGAGCTCAAATGATTTTTAGCTTCCAAACTCTCCCCAAATATATAGTAACTAATTAACATAATTATGTAAATGTTTCCTGATAGTCCAGAAAGCTTCTAGGAATATCACATACTGGCAGATTTTTAGATAAAAGGTTAAATTTATGGATCAAAATAGTGTGATATTTGAAAAGATAGCATTATTAGTATTGTTAAAGAAACCAGAATTAGAAAGTAGGCACAGAAGCAAACATTCTATTTTATTAAGGATCTATTACAACAGAAGGGAAAAAATGTAGATGCAGAACTGAGCTGATTGACAAATGCAGCAAGGACGGCAGCAAATTATAGCCAGTGCGGGATGGAGGTGGTAGATGGAACCTGTGGTGGAAGTGTTGAGGAGGCTCAGGAAGGACTCAAGCAGAGTCCGTGGATTTCTTCAGAGAGAAGCCAAGGTGATCAGATCTCCTGAGACATGTAATAAAGAAGGTGAACAGTTCTTGAGGGGTGTGTGTGTGTGTGTGTGTGTGTGTGTGTGAGAGAGAGAGAGAGAGAGACAGAGACAGAGACAGAGAGACAGAGAAAGAAAGAGACAGAAAGAGAAAGAGAAAGAGAGAGAGAAAGGGAGGGAGGGGAGAGGGAGGGAAAAAGGGAGGGAAGGAAGGGGGAAAGCTATTTTTGCATGGCTCTAACAACACCAGAGAGGACAATTTCAAGAAAGAAATATCTACTTTGTTCATGGTTTCGGATCTTTTATTCTATGTTTACCTGGTCCCATGGGATCAGGAAAAAGACCAAGTGATAGCAGCAGGGGAGGTGTCTTCTGAGGATACAGGGAGGCATAGAGTTAGGAAAGGACTGGAGACAAATATCACTGAAAGCCACACCTCCAGTGACCCGGTTCCCCCAGTTAGGTTCTACTTCACAGATTTTCACAACTTGACAAGCCAGTGCTATCAGCTGGGAATAAACAATTTGTTACCTGGTCCTGTAAGGAACATTTCATAATCGCATGATTGTCAGATGTAAATGGTGGCAGAGTCTCTTTAAACAGAATCAACAGAATGCTTGCTAAATTGAGTTATTAAAAAATGCAACACAGAAGTGCAAAAGTTGATGTTTAGATGAGAAGTTAAGCCTGGCTCAGTGTTGTTCGGAGAGTAAGACTGGGCGCTGTGACAATGATACTATTCTAGAGCACACAGGAAAGGCTTGCTCAAAGGGAGTAGCTCTGGCACTTTGAGCACAAGACACACACTTAGACTGATGTATTTTAGAGAGATAGGATACTTGCATTATTCGTCTGAGGGATGTAAGAGAGGAAGGATCTAATGACAATTTCAGCATCTTTAAAATTATTTTATTTATTTACATTTCAAATGTTGTCCCTCTTCCCTGTCCCCCCTCCACAAGCTTACCACCCCATCCACCCTCCCCTTCTCCTCTAAGAGGGTACACCCTCACCCATTCACCCACTTCCACATCACCCCTCCAGAATCCCTCTTCTCTGAGGCATCAAGCCTCCACAGGCCTAAGAGCATCCCCTCCCACTGAGGCCAGACAAGGTAGTCCTTTGCTACATACATACCAGGGGCTACTGTCCAGACCATATGTGTTCTTTGGTTGGCAGCTTAGTCCCTGGGAGCTCTGAGGGGTCTGGTTAGTTGATATTGTTATTCTTCTATGGGGTTTCAATCCCCTTTAGCTCTTTCAGTCTTTCCCCTAACTCTTCCCTGAGTTCCAGGCTCAGTCCAATGGTTGGCTGTAAGTATCTGCATGTGTCTCAGTCAGGAGTTAGTAGAGCCTCTCAGAGAACAGTCATGCCAGGTTCTGTCTGCAAGCATAACATGGTATTAGCAATAATGCCGGGGTTTAGTGCCTGCACATGGGATAGATCCTAAGTTGGGCCGGTCACTGAATGGGCTTTCCATCAGTCTCTGCTCCATTTTTGTCCTTGCATTTCCTTTAGATAAGAACAATTCTGGGTCAAGAATTATGAGATGAGTGGATGGCCCCATTTATCGACTGGGGGCCATGTCTATCTCCTGGAGGTGGTCTCTTCAGGTTCCATCTCACCACTGTTGGGTATTTTGGCTAAGGTCATCCCCATTGGGTTCTGGGAGCTTCTCACACCCTGGTGACTGGGACTTTCTAGTAGTTTTCCCCCATCACCCACCCAACTCTGCTGCACATTTCTCTTCATTCTTCTAGTCCTCTGGACTTCTCTCCTGTCTCCCCCAATACCTGATCCTGCCGAATTTCCGTCCCCCTCCCCTCTCCCATCCAGGTCCCTCCCTCCTTCTGCCTCCCATGATTATTTTGTTCCCCTTTCTAAGTGGGATAGAAACATTTACACTTGGGTCTTCCTTATTGTTAAGCTTCTTAGGATCCGTGAATCGTATCATGGATATTCTGAAATTTTTGGCCAAAATAACCTAAATCGATTTGTTATAATACAAATATGACAGTTAATCACTTAATATGGCAGTTAATCACTTCAGCAAAGAGAAGTGTACTCCTTTTCTTTTACCGAGGCAGACTGAGGATATTTTATTTCAGTTTTAGATGTACTGAATCTTTCAAGTTGAAATGACAGATTACCTATGTTATTATTAGTTGTTCCATTTGAAGCCAGACTTCTGACCTCTCAGCTGGTGACAGAGACACAGATTCAGCTGGTATCATAAAACTCAGGACCAATAAGATTCCAGACACTTCTTGACAGCCACCAACTCACCAGAGCTAACCGAGAGACCCTATTTCCAGGTTATACTCTTCCTGTACCAGGGATTGAAAAGCACTTAAGCTGTGAACGTATTTACTACAATATATAGTATAGACCTTCTGTACAATATATAGTATAGACCTTCTGTTTTTCATAACTATATGCTAGTACTATTGTTATTATGTGTTAGCTAATGCTGTGTCCTTAATGTAGTCATGCATGTAAGAGAGTTATTCATAAAAAAGATTAAAATGCAGAGCTACGTTGATGAGTAATTTAAAAATAAGAGCTGACTGTGTGTTTTTTTTCTTTAGCAGTGACAATGCAGTTCATCAGCCACCAGTTCCCGGACTACCATGACCCCACGATTGGTAAGTAGAAGGTGCTTTTCTCCTCCAGTCCAAATAAATACACTGAAATAAGTGGTTTTAAAGCACTGTTGATAATATTAGAGAACAAAAGTATGATTTATTTTATCTCCCAGCATATAAATACACTTGAATTATATGTGTATAAATTTCTGAGTCATGAGAGAGTATTGTCCTTCCTTCTCATAATGTACTTTCAGATTCCATACTTTGTTCGTGTTATTCTGGTAAATGATGGCTGAAATCCATTATGCTGATTTTTGGATTCACTAATGGATATTTTCCATTAGAAAAAAAATGAATTAAAAACCTTTGCTCTGGGTAATATAACTGATGTGATTACTACACACTGATCACATTTTCAGTCTCTAGTATCCGACTATAGGATTAGTTACTTTCCTCAATGAGACTTTTGGGGAAGGCATTTAAGTACAGGCATAGTTTCACTTAACATCCTCATTCGTAGATGAGGAAACTTAGACATCATGAGGCAAACTATGATTTGTGCCCCAAATTCAGCACACTTAATCCTCCAGTGAAATCCATCTTCCTGAACCCCTACCCCCCGCAACATTAACGGCAGAGACATGCTGCCATGAGGAACAAGCTCTCATTGTTTGAATTGAAAAAAGTACCTTTAAAATTGCTTTACTCATTCAGAAAACTACTTTAGGGAGAGTTGGAAACTCTCAAGCAGAGACCATTATAATATTCTTTGGCTAGAAATGCATTAAGCTTAAGATCACATAGAACATTCTTCTCGGCAAGTAGGGCACAGATCTACAGGGTGTCTTGTGACTGGCTGGGGAGAATGAACCACTACATAGGTCCCAGAGAGTGAACACAGGTTGTCTACAAGGCCATCGAGTGCTCTTAGCTGCAGAGCAATCTTTCCAGGCCCCAATATATTAGTTTTTAAAAAGCCTAGTAGTTTCGTAAGACCTCCTCATTAGGTTATCTGAATTAGTAAGATGTAAGTTTAGTAAATTGGCATACCGTTAACCAGAATGGATTCTCAAAGGAACTGAATTTTGTTTCTGAAAGTAATCACATTGAACAGTTTTGGAAGTGATCAGCTTCAGTGATGGTTTGATTATTCTCTCAGCCAATTTTTGAAATGTCTTAATTTTAGAATGCTGTCCCCTGAGTTATAGACAAGGGAAACTCTTGCTAAAAGTCTGAATCTTGCACATTGCTGGAAAACTCAGTAATATTACATAATATGCAACATATAGCACATACTATATATTATATATTATACACTATATCCTATATACTAAATATCATAAGTGCACTTTGTTTTTCATTCTTTTTTATTTCTGTGGTTTGTATACACTGGTATTACACAAACTGACCTCTCCTACAAATCCTTCATGTATAATATAATTGCTGGAATAAAGGTAAGAGATGTAAATAAACTATCAGTGTCTCCTTAACAAGGAATAAATGTAACATGTATGGTGATGACTCTTGCAAATAAGAGTGTGAGGACATCCATTTCTTGAGGTTAGGCTACCTGGACATTCAGTGTTAGCAGCTGAAATGATACTTTTACTAGAAATAAACAAGATAGTGTTGAAAGAAAGTTGAAAATTAAAACAGCAGCTTATTGCTCTCAGTTTGACTCTCCCACCATTTCTTGGCCTCTGTAATGGGATATTGGTTAACAATTTTCCACTGTTATACTGTTGGTAGAGGGTAAAAGGCTCAGACAATTTACTTCGTGTCTGTTCTGCTGCTTAGCTATTCTCTGCCTGATGACTTAATGACATCTCTAGGGGAAATTCATGTTAGCATGGCTTGAATATCCTACAAATTAGAGAAAATCAACACCCATCATGGGTACTTATCTCATAACTAAAGTAGGGAGGGGATATTTTCAGTAATTACCCAAATTTATTTGCTATCATATCAACTGAGATTTCTGGATATATTGTTTTTCTGAAATAATAGAATTAGTCCTTTGTTCTTTCTTGCCATCACCTTCTACTTTGTCTAATCTTTCTGTGAGGTAAACATCAAGTTGAAATTTTTAGACTCTTTATAAAGCAAAAGTTAAGAATATTGGTATTGTCAATGCTGGTTTTAAAGGAAGAATTCTGCTCCATATTTGCTGGTGATATATTCAATGTCAGTAACCAGTGATTTTTTTCCACTTCTCAAATCTACAGAAGATAGCTATGGTATGAATATTTAAAGTTGGCTCTATTTTTACAATAGAAAAAGATCCATTGAAAAATCACATTAGCAACAATAGAGCAGAATATGCCTAGATTTAAGTTGAAATGGAACATCTCTAAGCATTTGACATCATGATAAGTATAGCTTGATTTTTCCATGAATAATTATAGAGATATTAAGACATAACTTCCATATTAATATCCTGTTGTCCAAAACTTCATGTCAACAAATGAACATGCCATATAATACAAATCTTTAGATGTCACCATTGCATGCATATTATTGAGCAAAACTTGCATTTCTACCCTACAATATAATCTTTTTAGCCTCCATAAATAAAAATATAAATACCATAGTCCAAATTTAGGTATATTCAATTCAGGAAGAGCAGGTAGAAGAAATTTTGGAAACATTTACTCCTTTGCACTTAGTGCTGTAGGAAAGCAGAAAGATGGTTCATTAGGAAAGGACTCGGAAAGGATGGAGTACAGTAACCACTACTCCAAGCTCTGCTTGCTATGAACTAGGTTCGTGTGACATGAATCCCCTGGCATCCACTTTAGAATACAGAAGTCCTTCTTCAAGAAGGCTTTTTAAGGAAGTCTGGAATTATTAGAGGTTTATGAGAAAATAATCCAGGGTTGTTTGTTAGGATATGTTCTTTTAGATTCATTATGACTTGACGTTTAAAGAGTCTTGTTACACACAGTTAGAATAAAATAAAATTGTAGACAGTTAGAATAGAATATAAAAATAAAGTTGTAGCTGTCTTTTTTTCTTTTACTGAAATAAAAGATGAATTCTGTTAAAACCAAAAAAAAAAGTATCAAGCTTTCATTTATAGACGAGGCGTTTTAGTCCACATCACTGTTTATTGGCACTTTCATGTATTTTGAATTGATTTTGCTCATGATTACTGTTATTAAGTTGAAGACAGAAAACTTCAGGATCTCGAGCTTTTGACTTAACTAATTAACAAAGCTGCAAACAAAAAGTCTCAACTACCTTTCCCTTGATACTATATTAGGTGACAGATGGACCCTAAAGAACTTGTGTTTATTGCACCTTCAACATGTTTTAGTTTTGAGTGAATCATGTATTAATCAGTGATTATCTCCCTCCTTCTGCTATCACATGCAGGTATAATGTTAAACATGCTTTATGTAGAGCTCAAACAGTTGATTCCTTTCCAGCACTCCTAAAAGGGTGGGAAAAATGAAGAACAGATGAGAATATAGAGTGAGCTGATTAACTAGAAATCATCATGCACAGCGTAGTCTAACACACAACTTCAGGGTAGAAGAATATTTTATTAAAAGACAAAATCTGAACATTTAAAGGATGAGTTGACTTTTATTTATGGCCATTCAGGAATCAGCAAAGCCTTCTTCCTGAGAACTGAACAGGAGCTCCTACTGACCAATGTCACTGCAATGGCTTTGGTACTGATTGAACAGAAAAATAGAATAGAAAAAAAATGCAAATTATGTAACATCAAGCTATTTTCTTGCTACTTTTATAATGTTAAAGAAGAGTTGATCTCCTTATATTAACATATTTATTGAGGTAGACAACTTTTCATGGCTAGTTACAGGCATGAAGAGAATTTCCTTGAAATATTAAGAATATTATGCAATTATTATTATTATTGTGACTATTTTCATCCTGTTGATTTTATTCTTTATTCAATATCAGTCTTCTCATGAGGTATTTTTCAGGTATTGTGCAAACTACAGATATCAGCTCTGTAGAGAAATAGACAAGGAGTTTTAAAAATTGTTTCCTTTCTTATTTCTTTTATTTGTCTTTAAGAGCTGATTGTGCCTTTTTATCTGGAATTCAGTTGTCCATTTCTTTCTCATTGCATTAAAATAACTTGAGCTCATTATCTTAATGCAGGACACAATTTAGTTAAGTTGGCCTTAAGGACCTATTCGATTCCTTTTTTCCTGTGGAAGGAAAACAACTGGAATAAACCCGAATCACTCATGACATGGTTATTCCAATTGCTGTAGTATTGATTTGGTTTACACAGAACAGAAATTCACAAAACCAACTTTCTAACTATATTTATAATTTCTTTTCAATAAATGCACATCCTCATAATTGAATAGGTTGAAAATGCTTTTCTTCCTTTAGCAGTGTAGACCTTAAATTCACTTATACACATGATGGTCTCACTCAAAAGATTCATATTTATCTGAGCAACAAACAAGGACTATAACAAACTCTATAGAAATATAATAAAATATCACATATAGAATATTCTTCCTAAATTACTTAGCATGCTTCTTTAAGTAAGGAGCTCATTTAAGTGGCAAAGTACTTTGAGGATAGGAACAGGACATTTGCAGAGCACAGTGAATATTAGTGTGCAAAGCAGAGCCATGAAAAACAGTGGATTTAGAGAAATCATGTGGTTTGTATCACACTAAAATGTCCTCCTTAGCATCTAAAATGTTCACTAATAGATTCCCTTCTTTGTGTTACTAGAAAATCCCTGTTAAATTATAAATATTCAGGGGGGAGGTAGTCCCCCAAGCAATGCAGAATCACTTAGATATTAGCATAGATTAATGCATCTAATTATCCTAAAGAGAAAACAGAACTGTGGTCTAGAAAGCACTACTGAAGAGATGTTTTTGAGGGCTAGAGAGAGGAGAATATCACTGTTATGAAAAGTGAGTGCCATGAAGTAATTCTTAAAGGAGAACAAGATGTAGAAATACAACTTGAAGGATTATGTTAAGCAATGACTTCTCCATGTTTGAGCAGAAGTAGGGGGAACGATAATTCACATGGAACCCAGTAAGTTCAAGATG